AAAAAATAAAAATAAAAATAAAAATAAAATGAAGCAGAGCTAAAATGATGCTCTCACAGGTTTGTTGTCCTCCTACTTACTTTGCTACTTCAATGTGAAAAGTTCTATAACACCAACTTCTGAGTCTACACAATCGATGAGAATGAACCCTACTCCAGGAGTCAGGAAACAAACATTCCAGTTTTATCTCTATCACTCACTTCCTCATGATTTTAACAAACTTCTTGTCCTTATTTATAAAACAAAGGTCACACACATCCCCCAGAGTTTCTGATAGCCAAAGTAATCTTTTATTTTTGGCGGAACTGGGGATTGAACTCAGGCCCTTGCGCTTGACAAGCAAGCACTTATTCTACTGAGCCATCTCCCCAGCCCCAAAGTAATCTTAATCACAGCTTTATTGATAATTTGGGCCAGACAACTCTTCGCGTATACTGTACACTGTGCAGTGTATAGTAATATTCTTCACTTCTGCCCTTTATATCAAACTAGCACCCTTTTCCTGGCCCTGGATGGGATAACAAAGAAGAATGTTTTTTAGGGCCAGTGACAGAGCTTAGTGGTGCACTGCCTACCTAGCAAACATGAGAATCTGAATTTGATTCCCAGTACTCCCAAAAAATGTCTTTAAACATTACCAAACATGAGAAATATAGCATTATATAGTGCATACATATATACAATGTACAGTATATTATATAGCATACATATAGTATATATACATACTAATATACATGCATACATACATACATACAAGGAGAAAGAGAGGGAGAGGGACAAAGATAACAGTGTTTCTTAAAATGTAGGAAAAATACAAAAGGAACATTGACATAAATAATTAAAAATCTCTTACCTAATATATACAAGAAGCTTGTTGCCCATAACAACTTGCTCATCTAAAATAGAAGGAAAAAATAACATCAGTAGTTCTCTCCAAAACCTTTTCAGAAATATAATCTTTATATGGAAATAAAAAATAAAGCATAACATTAAAGGTGAGGTAAATATACTTCCAAAGGGGCTGGGGAGATAGCTCAGTAGAATAAGCGCTTGCCTGGCAAGTGCAAAGGCCTGAGTTCAATCCCCGGTTCTGCCAAAAAATAAATAAATAAATATACTTCCAAATAACAGAAAATTGATATAAGTCCAGCTTAATTTTGATTCTTGATTTCCTTTAGAATTTATTCATAGATAATGAGTCATTCAAGGATACACACAGGTCTGAAGGAAGGTACAAATCTATGAATTGTTAGCTTAACCTCTGTCTTGGAGCCAGGGCATATAAACAGCAGTCAGTAAGTTGATGAACTATATACAGATCATGGCTGGTTTACTAATATTTAGGCATAGTTATGTCTCCTCTATTATTTACTTGTTTGCCTGTTTGTTCACCTCAGATAGATCTTGCTAGATGTACAGGCTGGCCTTGAACTCATGATGCTCCAGATGGGATTATAGGTCTGTGCCTGGCTAGTTCTTCTCATTTCTAACAGAGACTCTCACTAGCCACAGTGCTCTAGGGTTGAGAAGGACATTGTTCCCAAATGTTTAAAATAATCTCAAATAAATGATTATTAGCACTTTTTCTGTTTCAACATATTAAACATGTACAATTCCATCAACTGATTATACAAGCCTATTTCTTTGAGTAAAATGTATCAGATAATTAGACCAAGTTTTAGGTCAAGGGTCAAGGCAACAGCAGTAGAGTAGGAACTCCAGGAAATGGTCAGGAATGTGTACAGTGTACAAAGTAGAATTTGTTTTAGTAAGAATGAAGAGCTGGAATCTGAATGAAGAATGAAAAACTTGCTACATGAATACTAGACATAACACTAGCATATATGTATATATATATATATATATATATATATTTAATGTTTTTAGTAATCCTTCAAAAATATGTTACTCTTAAGTGTAGGGAATCTGTATTCTTCATATTCCCAGCATCCCATATAGCATCTGGTACATAAGTAATTGATTATTAAACGTACAGTGAATTCAAATGATATAATGCTTCAATTTCTGCAACTCTTTACCTCTTGGAACTTTATCTTTTTTTATACAATTTTCTATTGTAGAAGTTCAACAACTCCACTTGGATTTTTTTACTACTACGTTCCACATTCATTTCTGGTAAATATATACGTAAAAACCAATTTTCAAGTCTGTTTCAAAAAGATTAGATTTGTTGAACTTTAAGTCCCTGTATAGTATGATAAAAAACATTTAAAAATTAGATTATATTTTAAAAATAGGATAAAGAATACTTGATGAAAAATACCTGTTCCTGGGCCGGGGAGATGGCTCAGTGGAATAAGCACTTCCCTGGCAAGTGTAAGGGCCTGAGTTCAATCCCCGGTTCCGCAAAAAAAACAAAAACAAAAAAAAAGAAAAATACCTGTTCCTTATTATGCCTAAGATGTTTGAAATGCAGTGAGATAGTGAGGGTAAGCTTGATAGCCTAAATCGTTTGATAATAACAATAAGCTTATCTTCTGGATGGTTAACAACCTAAGTTTGCAGACCAAAATTAGAGAAAAAGGAGGGCTACAAGGAAAGCCAACATTTTGGCCCTAGTGTTCTAAGGTCAATTAAGACTCAGGACATACGAGAACTTGTACTGTAACGTCATGTACCTCGGTAGTGTCCCAAATTTTCTGATCAAGAAGATTATGGGGCCAAAGAGGAAAGTGATCGATGACGTAGAGTGTGCCTAAGGAGAGTCACATGGGGAGAAGACGCTCTCTCAGGCTTTCATAGAGAGCACATTGGCCAAGCAATGGCCGTGACTCATCCACATGGCTGCACTGACAAAGGTTCTACAATCTGAGGTACAGGATCTCAGGATAAATCCTGAGGGCATTTCACTGACCTTCTCAGACCAAAAAGCTACAACTCTTGTTGCATAGGTCCTGCTTTACCTTGGTCTTAACCATCCAGTAGAAAAGTATGAAGATGAAATATAGGAAATAAAGTTATGCTATTAAGTTGAGCTGTGGGGGACTCAGGTCAATAATTTCTGACATTGCCAGTTAAACAGAAGACCCAATGCTATTATGGGCTACTGGACTCTTTTAGAATATTTTGCTGAGTTTACACACCTATAATATTCAATAACGGAACTTTGAAAAAATGGGGTATACCTATGAATGTCCATTTTGTATCTGTGTATTCAAAGTGGTTGGGATAGATATATAGTTGCATTCTCTTAATGAATAGAATGATTTGTTCTAATGGTGTTTGTAAATAGGATCTCAAGTCCGCATCTTGTACAGCAATTAACCACTAAGAAGAATACATGCAGTGTATTATTTGTTGAAACTGTACTTCCGATTTGATTTGAAACTGTCTCATTGCTATCTGTTTATCAATAAAACTTTAAAAAAAAAAGATTAGATTCAAAGCTGCTACTGGGTATAAGAGAGTAAGACTGCACGAAATGACTTTTTCTGCCTTTAGCTTTACAGGGAAAAAAAAAAAAAGGAGCAAAACCTGGGAATCACACAAAAAGCACTGAAGTTACTAAAGAATGAACAGAAGCATATAATGCAGTGAAGAATTCCAAATTAGTTGGAGAGAGATAGGCCTACTTTCCTTCTCCGTGGCTTTTCCCTATGGATAAACATACTCTGTATTGTGCATACTAGAGGTCAATTAGAAAAACCTAGTCTTTCTGGTCTCAGGCAAACTCAAGAAACCAGGAATGGAAGACAATAAAGGAATTCTGAAAGGGAAAGAATCTAAGAGGGGAACCCTCAAATGGTCTGCCTATACCCCTGACTGATCTCTAAGCCATCATGCAAGTTGGCCAAAGAAAAAAGGTTAAGAACCAAGAACTGAGTTCTGCTCCTGAAAATTTGGAGCATAAGGAGGAGGAGACAGGCCCCGCCCTGCCAAGGGGTGAGGACAAGAGGGACTTGTCCATGTAAACCATCATCACTGTGGTTCTGAGCCTCAGATATACACAGCTTGTGTGGCAAGCATGGCAGGGATGGCAACCCACATGGAAAAAGTGGCAACTCTCTGGCAGAGGAACTAAAAAACAGAAGCTGGGAAACATGAACAATAACAAGAGAGGGGGACTCTGGTAAAGAAAGGAGACAGAGGAAAGATCCACAAACCACCTTCCCTGATTACTGATCGACCCCTAGATTACACATGTGGATCAGAAACAAAGTAGACCAGCTAAAGACAAATGAGCTGAGGAGAGACTAGAGCTGCCACATGAAAAAGAGTTTGCAATTTAAGTCTAGCCAAGATTACCTGATAAAGGAAAAAAAAATACTCAGTGGAGAAAAATAATAGAATCCTGAATTTCAACAATGTAATGCACAATATTTTTTTTTTTTTTTTACTTTCTGCAAAGCTTTATTCCGGAGGGGCTCAGTCCTTTTTGGCAGCTGCCTTCCTCATAGTGGCCAGCGTGTTGCTCAGCTCCTCAAGCTTCCTCTTGGCGCGGATGTGCGTCCCCACCCTTTTCTTGATGAACTTAAGGGCACGCTTGTCCTTGGAGACCTTGAGCAGCACCATGGTGTGCTGCTCGTTGGGGGAGAAGCCGCACACCTCCCAGATCAGGTCCCGGATGAACTTGGTGTGTTTGGTGAGGCATCCGCGACGGCAGCTGTGCCTCGGTTTGCTCACATTCTTAGTCACCTTGTGGCCCTTGTTGAGGCCCACACGCCCATGGCCATGGGATAGTGGAGGGCCATGGCCACTCTTCTTCAGTGGTTGCTGTGTTAATTTATTTTTATTTTATTTTATTTTTGGCAGAACCAGGGATTGAACTCAGGCCCTTACAGTTGCCAGGGAAGCGCTTAATCCACTGAGCCATCTCCCTGGCCCCAATTTTTTTTTTTTTTTTTTTTAAGAGGCTCTTTAGGAACAAAGAACAAACTCCTGAGCCCTTAATCTTTTACTCATTAAAAACACAATTTGTGTTTTCTCCTGAAGCAATGAGCAATTTAAAAGTAGTCACTGCTAAAAAGGATCTATTGAGCATCTGCTCAATAAATAAGAAAAAAAAAAGTCTTTTCTTGGGCTGGTGAGATGGCTCAGTGGTCTAAAGCACCTACTTAGAACAAGCTAAGCTAAGCAAAGCACAGGGACTGCAGTTCAATCCCCCAGCACCACATGCCAGCCAGCCTCGCCCCCTCGTGGGCTGAGCTGGCCACACACAAAAATATAAATAAATAAAAGA